CGGGGCGCGGGGCGGCGGCCCCACCTGCGGGCCTCGGAGGCGGCGGGGACGTGCGCGGGGCCACGCTTCTCCCCGCGGGAGAACGGGCGGGGGGCGCGGAAGGAGAGCGCAACTTACCACTTGTGGGTGCCCCCGCCAGCCGTGAATACCCGAGCGGGCGCGGCGAGCGGGGATCCCGAGGAGAGGGTGCCGCTCGGCTGGCAGGTTCCCCTTCGCGAGCGGAGACAGCCCTTCGGTCCTCGCTCCCAGCCGGCTCCTTCCGTTGGCAAAATCCTGACTCATTACATAAAAAGATCACCCTGCCAGGCGCCCAGAAACATTTCTTCATCACGGTCACGCCACAAGCTAAACAAGAGGCCACATCAAGGGGAGGGGGAGAGGGGGAAGCGGAGGGGAAAAAAAAAAAAAAATCCAGAAGGTTTCTTTTTTCCTTAAGATCCTCTTCCTTTTAAAAAAAAAAAAAAAAAAGGAACATAGAGAGAACCTGTACAGCCATTTGACCATATGCTTCATTAATTGCCTCAGAAGTGACCTCCTCCCTCTGTTTGTATTGGATCTGTTCCCTCCATCAGGAGAGAGGCTCTTCCCTTCTATTTTGTGGCACACTTGGGGCTATTCAGAAATGGCATCTCAAAAAAAAAAAAAAAAAAGGGGAAAAAAAAAAGTGCAAGGGAGGAAAAAGAGCAGCCACCGGGAAATAACTGGAGAAGATTCACTCATTGTTGCCACAAAGACACCTCTCCCCTTCCCACTCCCTCTCCATGCTCGTTCCTCCAACAGTGCTACAAAGACGTGCAGTCTGCGCCGGGAGTTGCTGAGCCCGAGCCCTGAGCTCCTCAACTCCGCGGGGGCCGTGCCAGGAGACCCGGGGCTCTCAGTCCTCCCGGAGTAGGTGTGGTGAGTCCAACACTGTCCGAAAATTATTTTTTTTCCTAGAAACTACCTCCAAATATAGTAACAGGGAAGGGGCATTCCTAGAAATTCGGGAGACGTCAGAAAGGGAAGATTTGTGAAATTCAGCTTCACTTCCTGCAGAGGGCTCCTAGCACAGGAAAAAAAAATCAAGTGAGCAATAAAGTGCTTTTCATGCTTCTCTGATCAGATAATGGTTAAAAAAAGAAGAATGGTAAAACACTTAACTCGCATTTCTCTGATATGATCTAGGAGTTTCATATGGGAGGGAAGCTAATCAGTAACCCCCTTTCCTCCTTTTCTACTAATGTTTATAGATGTCTATCTCCTTTATTTACTTTCCCTCATGTCCTCATATCAGACCTATGCACACGGTAAATAAAAGGAATACACATATCACTAAAAAATGGGCCAAATGATAACCCTCCCATGTATCACAGTAACACTAATTAATGTTCGTGTGCTATTTTAAACATGCTTTGCGGGTTGCATCTTTCATGCTACACTGATGTGAATAATTCATGTTATTGCTGTAGATGTGTGCAGTGTCGTTACTCGCGTGAATGAGAATTTCTAGGTTGGCTCTTATTTAAGGGCCGCAGTGCTGAGAACTGCTGAGCACTGCCAGTCCCCATTGACTTAATGGTATCTTAGGCTGTTAATTAATTCTGCTCAGCAATTCACAGGATCAGGCCCTGACTGACAAATGTAAATTGGGACTTGTAGTAGACCCGCACACTGCTACTATTATTCCTCCTGTGTCTCCTAAATATGTATACTTGCTTTGTGCTTGTGGCCAACACACTTGACTTCTTTAGTCATATCTTTTTAAAATCACGCTATTTGATACATTTCATAGGAAGCAGGAATGAATGTTTGCAAAGCAGTAACAGATGACGATGTTTTAATATGCTATTCATTATATAAAGATGTCAATGCATTTGTAATAAAGCATTATTTATCCAGGAATAGCAAATGTTACTGTAAAAAACACAATAGCCAGCTTTTGGGGAAAGAGAATAGATTTCAATGCATGTAACTCTTGCAGGTTAATTGAATTTCCGTAATGAAATTCCCCTCAGCCACATGAAAACCTTGGGTTTGTTCTTTGAATTTCATTATGACTTGCAGAGTCTTCTCTGCCCCCAAATGAAATGCAATAAAACACTGGAGTCTGGCTTTACTTCAGTGTTTTATAAACACTCACATTTAATTAAAACTTAGTTACAGACACCTTGGCTGTCTGCAGTTTTGAAGGGGAAGTAGCAGAGTTCACCTGACAATCCTGAATGTGCTTTGACTCCCGAGTCTGTTTTAACTGTTCTTGAAGTGCTCAATCAACAATTCCTTTGAGATACAGCCCCAGCTTTCAGAGGGTGCACCCTCAGTGCTTTGTTAGCCTGGTTAGAGTGGATTTATTTTAAGTAATCTCTTGGAATTCAAACCAGCTCTAAGTTAATTGCAAGAAGGCCTTTTTAAGCTGGCTGGCTTATTTGTGACACGCTGCTCTACTCCGCCTGTCACTCTCATTTCCTGAGTGAAAAAGTGAATGGCAGCTTCAAGTTCAGGATCTTTTGATCATTAAAAGAAATGGATGTGCTGTCCTCTGTTGGTCATACTGGTTGTCACATGTAAAATTCAATTAACTCAGAAAGGCAGCAAGAGGCTCTGTTAAAACAACAAAGATGATGAAACTAAATTAGATTTGCTTCACCTTCCGCATTCACACACACAGCGTGAGGGATTCTTAAATAATTCCTAGAAAATGATACAATGATGGATATTAGAAGCTGGATGAAGGAGAGGACTCATTTCACATGACTCCATACTACAGGTTCTGCCCTGGGATTCAGCCCCCTCAGACTCTGGCTGCTGTTTTAAGCGCTTGCCGTGGGCCACTCTCCCCGCGGTGCCTGGCACGCGGGGTGACACCGGGACCCTCTGCCTCCCTCCCGCTCCCCCCGCGGGGCTGGGGCTGCAGAGGGGCTGCAGTGCTGCCAAGCACATGGCGAGAGAGGAAGTTTCCAGCTTAAATTTCATGTCACACGGTCGGGTCTGAGGACAGGGCCATGTGTGCCAGCACGGATAGTTTGTGCTCACGAGTAATGACTCATGTGGTGTGATGTGAGGGCAGCTTCTCGGAGCACTATGACTATGGCAGCTTGTGCTTTGCTGGGTACACGTAAGGCAGATCCCCAGGGTACTGCTCACAGTGCCCTGCTCTGAGTTGGGCTGGGGGGAAACGCTCTGCCCGGCTGGGTGTTGGGAAGCAGCAGCAGCGTGGCCACTTCGGGGCCGCATTTCAAGAAAAGCATGTAGAAGAGGATCTAGGGGATCATAGCAAGGACGAGTAGAGGTGTGAATAGAGGTGTAGAAAACCTGACTTTAAAATTTGGGGATTGTGCTACCTAAAAAGGAGAAAGCTGAAGGCAAATATAGTGACACTTTCAAAAAGGTTTGACGTCATGTAAACGAATCTATGTCAAGGCAGTAAACCTGCGTGGTATGTTAATAATTTCTACATCCTAACTGCTGCTGGAGTTACCAGTTTCTGGTCTGCACTAGCTTCTCTTATGCTGTGATTTCATAGGTTTGTAATTACAAAATTAATTTCAAGTAAATAATCATAAGACGTGTCTTAAAATGTTACTTAGCAAAATTATTATCACGTTCATAATTCGGCAGTGCTATTTAGGAAAACATAAGTTCTGTCTGTAAACTATGGAAAACCAGGCTCTGTTACCTAATTTCCATGTGGGCCACGTAACTGATGCAGACTCACAGGTCTCAAACCCTTGCTCTGTGGGTGAGACGCAGCCAGAGCTCTCGTGTGTACCTGCCTTACTCCTCTATTTCTAGAAAAACAAGCAAAAATTTATGAAACCATTACTCATCACAGGCAGAATGGCTTCTCTCCAGGTTTATCCCTGAGGTTGTAGTAACAGAAAGCAGTATTTATCAGATACACATTTTGTCCTTGAGTTTGATTTTTATGTGTAGTTTTGAAACCCCTCTTATGAAAGCAGCTTCAGGGACACGGTTGTTCTTCACTGTCCATCATATCCAAGAGTAAAAATATCTAAGAAAACAGAAACCTATTTACAACATTTTGGGTTGTAGTTTTGCATGTGCTTTGTGCTGAAACTGTCACTGCTCAAAATCAATAATTTATGTTTTTCTTCTCTCTAGGGAGACTGGGCAGTGTCGTCACGGATTTCCTTCTGGAAATTTCAAGTTCAGAAATGAGCTGGAAGGTATACACTATGGTTTCCTCTCTGCTGATGCTTCACCAAAGTTATGCCAAATTTGCTGAAGAGCAGTTCTGGAGACTTGTGAATATCAACAGTAAACTGAGTGCAAAAAATTTTAATTACATGTAATTAACAGAGTCAGATAATCTTCATAACAGTAAATCTGTGAAAAAGCCTAATATAGAATAAATGGTTACAGCCCTTCTTTGAATCAAAATGCAACTTGAATGATGATTTTGACCTACCAACAGAATTTATGTATTTTATTGTAAAAGATTTTACAGAACATAGTGTACATAGTCAATGACAGTTATTTTTGTTCATACAGCAATTGCACAGATTTGATTCTGGACAAGAATGGTGCAGTTTGCAAGACGAAGGGTTTGTGGGGAAGAAACCAGAAGTGTCGGTGTGGCCCAACCAGAGGGCAGTGGAGCTGGAGCTGGTGAGTGGGCACCACACGGGAATCCAGGGGGATTTCCCTCCATCTGTAGCACGTTGGGATGGTTCTAAGCACTGTCAGCCCCTGACTGGGTGTGCTGGTTTGGCGGCTGGTCCCCTCAGCGTCCCCAAGCTGTGTCCTGGCTGCTCGTGACGCTGCTGGCCCAGCTGTGTCTGAAGCGTGGGGTGGTGGCTCATACTGGGAGACGGGGCAGCGTTGCCCGTCACCCCCCAGCAGAACCGGCCCCACCTCTCCGCCCCTGCTCCAAAGTGACAGGGAGTTTTTCTGTTTAAAAAAATAGAGAATTAAAAGCGAACAGTAACCAGATTGCAGATAATCCTTCTAAGCGGTCAGGGATGCAGATGAAGAAACCTCACCTTTTATCAACCAGAAGATGGAGCTAAATTAGTAAATAATTAAATGAATTAGGGAGGGAAGAGAGGGGGGAGCCCAACAAAAAGAACCAGGAATTGTGGGATGGGTTTGATAGATGCAGATTCAAATATGAGCATGTCCCACTTGTTCCTCACAGGAACCGAACCACCACTTGTGAGATGGTGAGCACCAGCACGTGCTTCCAGGCTGCTGTGTAGGACACAGGTGTGACATGGCTGTACCTTGGCGCTGGTAGACAGCTTTTCCTTGCACGTTTGGAACCATCTTCTCCTCTTGCTTCTTCAAGGTGAGGTCCAGACTCCCTTAGGTCCGGGTTAGACGCTCTGAAGGAAAACGTGGCCGGTGTAAGGACAGCGGTGAGGACGGTGGTTTGACCAAGGTGACGCGCAAGTGATGGTGGTTGTTTGTCCGGTTGTTTCCTGAGGCCAGGAGCAGCAGCAGCGACACTCCGCGGAGCGTTACTTGCGCTGGGTGCGGTGCAATGCCGCCCCTGGAGCCGTACCGGTCCCGAGCCGCCGCTCCCGCCTGCCCTTAAAAAGGATCGGGGAAGCTGCCACCGGCGCGGACCCGTTAAGGCACGGACGGGGTTCGAACCCGTGATCTTCGGTTTACGAGACCGACGCCTTACCACTTGGCCACCGCGCCTGCGTTGAAGGCTCCTCCCGACGCCTTTCCATCGCTGGCGCCGCTCCGGCGCTGCCGGCCGGCCGGCCTCGCGCCAGCGGCTCCTCCCCCGCCGCGTGCGCCTGCACCTGGCGGGCGCTGAGGCGGGCGCTGGGGCGCGTGCGGCCGTTCCCCTCAGCGCCGCCCGCGGGCTCCCCCTCGGTAGGTGCCCGCTGAGGGGGCGGAATCCGTGGGCTGAGGAAGGGTCCCCGGAGGTGCCCCGTCCGGGTGTGGAGGAGCCCCTCTTTCCGAGTCGGTACCGGCGAGGGACGGGTCCCCGGGGCCCTCCCGCCTCTGAGGGAGAACGGGCCGGGGCGCGGCGGCAGAGGGGTTCCCCGGGGGAGGCTGCGATTCTGTGGTGGCTGGGACACGGAGCTCTGCTGCAGCCGGCCTTCGCTTTACCAAAAGATGGCACTCGTACATTTAGATTAGTAAATCTATTGGCAGCAATTGCAATCTTCCTCAGGCCAAAAAGAACAGGTTGGGGGGCGGGGAGGGGAAGCAGGAGTAAAACTTTCCTCTGCTGTGAAAAGAAGCAAAAATGCCAGACGCCGGGATAATTAAGTGGTAAATATAAAATTAAACGTACTAAGTTCCTGGTACTTGTTCTCTGTAAGAAACTTAGTGTTGTAAAATACAGAGAAGATACTGAAAAACATGTTTTTCTAGATTTGTTCTCCTAGATGTTTACAAGTGTGACCTGAAAGCAAAGCTTTTATTTTTCATTTACTGCTCACTGTGGAGATCCCTTTAAAATCGCTATGAAACCTTTGCTGGATACCTAAGTTATATTCCATCTTTCTGGATGGAAGGAATTGTTTATTGACCTGGGGGAGTACTGATCCTGGCTATGATGTCTTTGTTTTGGGGTTTTTTTTGGTGGAAGCAGCATGTTAACATGTTAACAGAGGTACCTTTGTAAAGGTTGAGATCAGAGTTACTCATCTGGTGACGCTGCGATGCAGGTGTCTTAAAAGATTACGGTATCTGTATTCTTTTGGGATGTTCTTTGAACTGGGATCAGGAGAACTTATGGCTGATGATTTGACTCTAGGAACAAATTTCAGTTCTTTAAAAGTTGCCATTTGTCAGCTTCTCTGTGATAACTCTGTGCTTCCGTTTCAGCAAACGGAGCAATTTGAATTAGATTCACCTGGAGTGAAAGGTGTCTAATTTAAATTACCTCACCTGATAGTCAGCCCATGCTAAGTGTGTTTGCTGCTAACAAGCGATAGCTGTTCCCAAGGTGATTTGTTTTGTTTTTCAAGTTCTTGTGGGCATAGCTGATGGTGTGGCCAACCTGAACACTTGCTGGAGTTTATCTTCTAATCTTGTTCATCACTAGCTGCAAAGGGCATACCCTCATCTGGACTATGGAAAGTTGGGAAGCCAGAATACTACTGTTGTGTTCTGCTTCTGTCTTGATCATAGTGATCAGTGCAGCATTTCAAAAGCATGATAATACGTAGGAGTGGAAGCTGTCTCACTCAGCTCTCACTCCTGTAACTTTTACGGTAAGAAGTGACCTCAGAGGGCCCCTTATCTTAGCTGACTGAAGAAGAGTTACTCCTAGTATTAGGAAGCTGGCAGTAGGAAGGAGTTAGATTTCCATAAATCATGTTTGGCTGATGTCCTTCCATTTGTGGCCTACTAGCTTATTACAATTTATGCTCTTTTATGTGCCAATACTTGCCACTCGTAACTTGTCATTGCAGTTCCTGTGCAGCTCATGTCTGTGCTTATTTTATTTGTATTTTTGTATCTCTGTGAGTGGAGGAGTAATTTTGTGATGGGAGGAAGCAGAGGGGAGTATTTGAATTATATGTGGAATTCATATGAGTTACATCTCTTCAAAAACACCCCATTTTTAGTAAGTTTATTTGATCAGAATCAGAAATAGTATTTAATTGTAAAGCAGCTTCTAATGCTAAAGTTCTTCCTTAGCTGTATGGGGAGACTGAAAGTTAAATTTGAAATCCCAAAGCTCTTCTGAGTACGTTAGGAGGAAATACTTGGACAGATTTAAAAAACATTGCCTACTCTCTGACCCTAACTTCCTCAATGTGTCCAGAAAAAATGTTGCTATCTAAATAAAGTGCTATTTAATGGTGAGCTGATTTATCAAAACAATAGTTTTGACAACTAAAAATGTAATTTCAATTTAAAAATGTGTAGCTGCCTGTAGGTTTTTTTGATACTTTTGTTTGAAGTGTTTTTTTCTGTTGATCATTACCCCTGTTTGAATTCTGTGGGAAAGCCTTTATTCTTTATTCTGAATCCTCCTTATGCGGTATTCTCTTCTGACAAACTACTTTTTAAAAGACAACATGAATTTCCTAAAGACTTCCTTTCTTTCGAAGACTCTGATGCTGAAAAGATAATGTCAGAAATTTTGTTGGAAGAAGAAAATCACCAGGTTCTTCCTCCTCTAAGCCTCACTCTTATGAGATGGAGGTGTTGCTTTAGGAGAGGTCTTTGATTTTAGTGTACAAAACTGTGTGTACTAGTGTACTAGGCCTTTCTAGAAATCTCCCAAATTCTCTGGAGGAGATACAGGGGAACAGTCGTGTTTATGCAGAATTTGTGCAACTGCATAACTGAGTTTATAAAGACTTGCTATGAGGTAGCTGAAATGCTCCTCCGTTATCAATTACTTAAGTTAGACTATGTCCTAGCTTTATGTAAGAATGTTTCTATTCACTATTTTAACTTCTAATTAACAGTTGTCTTGGAGGGATTCAAGAACGATGCAGTGTTACAGTACAGTTGCCCTGCAGTCCTCATTCTACAGAGAAGACCAGAGACTCATCTTCAGGTAGTTTTTTATGTGAAGGGAAATACTTCTTAGAGTTACTCTATGATTTTACCGATAAACACTTAAAGTAAAAAAAAAAAACCCTTCTAGCTGCAGCCTCTCAGACACTCCTCTACTTTGTTACTTTGATTCTCTTTTAGAAAGGTCTCAATGGGGTTGTAGAGTATAGCATGGTGTGGGGGCAATGTGTGTGACTTTCTTTGCTATCAAGGAAACGGCTCTAGCTTGAGACAGTACAAATACTCTAAGAAATATGTCACTCTAGCACCATTTGTATGATACACAACAAGCTAATAGGCAGGACTATATAGCATTTAAAGAGTAAAGACAAATGTGCTAATGGCCATTTGTAGAGCATGGTTTAATATAATTGAGTTTTATTATTTTATTGAAAAGCAGGGTTTAGCTTCTGGAAGAAGTTCAGCATAATCTCAAACTTCATCAGTCCTTCTTGTCTTTATGTTTACATCATAATACTAATATGAACACACTTTGGTGGGGAGGGTTATGTGTTTATATTTCTTGATCTTTGTAAAGCAATCAAGGGTGCTGGCACCAAAACAAGTGCTTTATCTCTGAAATATTCTAACTATAAATTCTGGAATGCACAAACATAGTCAAAAAGCGCTGAACTTACTTTGCGATGTTTGTGTGATATCTGAGGGTAAGTTTGTGGCATATATGGCCTATAAACCTTTAGAATGGTTAAAGTTCATAAAGAAAAGGTATTTTATTAAATTTACAGGGTGTATTAGTAAGTTTTAATTTGTTCTGGTTTATGTGTACTATCTACTGCTTTATGGGTTTTGTAACACTTGCCCAAGTTCGGATGTCATCAGCCTAGAACTGACTTTAATAAGGAAAGGACAAGTGATCTAGTATGGGGACTGCCTCCACAAGAGGAAGTATCATGGGAACTACCATAGAAGTGAAGCAGCTTCAGCATGAAAAGAAGTTTGTGCATATTGAACAGCTCATAGCTCATTCTCCTGAAGAAATTCACAAAGGTGTTGCTAGAACACAAGTTGCACAGAATAAAAATGCAAATGCAAAATCCCACAGTCCAGCACTCTTGAAATCTTGGAAGAATTTGGGAGTCATGAATGAAAGTGGGTATAACCTTGCCGTCACGAGAAATAATTTTCTAATTGTTTCTTTGCTTTATTATAGGTCTGAAATATCCCTTAATTTCTCTCAGAAGCACCTTATTCTTTGTACTTATTTGTATGGCTTTTTTACAAATTATTTTTTATTTAACATTAGAGAATTACAGGTAGCCTCTATTCAGAAAAATGTGATCTAAACACAATCTACTTTCTTGTTAAATTCAAGACTAGTACTATAAAGTATAAAAAAGAATTGCAGTATTTTGTAGCTGATAAGAAAGTCCACATACATTTACTTGGGGATTATTTCTGTATCTGTGACATTGTAACTCAATTAGGAGCAGAAGTCCATATCGCAAGGTGAAATACACCCAGTAATCTGTAATGATATTTTAATAGTTTCATTAGACTTCACTCTAAGAGGCCTTAAAGGTTCATTTGCATAAGTGAACAAAATGTTGCATTTGACTCACAAATGAGGTTAAACTATCTGGGGAATATTCAGAAGCTTGCCTAATGGCACAAGCACAGCTTTCTAAGAGATGTATCTGGGCGGCCTGATCTGAGCAGCTCAGTGGAACCACTCTAACAGTCTGCTCCAGGGCAGTGACATGACAGGTTCACAACAGGAACTTGCAGCTCTCTGGAGTGCTTCATTTATTCTGTATTTTGAGCTGCTCTTTTTCCTCTCCCTGGAAAAAATACCACTTGGAGGGAGGAAGAAACTCCAGGTTTTTCCTTCTTCCTTTTTCACCCTGGCACTGTGAGTCGGAACAGTATTAGAGTGCCCAGTCTCCCTTGCTGTTGTTTTTACACATGGCTTCAGTGTTGCACCTTGTTCCTCTCTCCACCAGCAAAAAGCGTGGACTAATCCAAGATTATCCTTAGAGAATTTTGCTAGCAACTTGACTCTCCATGGTTGACAAAAATACATACTAGAATCACTGTATTTTGCCAAGTCTTACTACAGCATCTTGAGTTTTGATCAATTCTTGATTCAATTTCTTTTGATAGGGATGGGTTTAAACTATTGTTTGTTCAGTGATCTCTGTAGTTCCCCTACACAGTCATACCTGGTCAATGCATGCATTATGTAACTGTAAAGTCATATTCTGCACTAGGCTTCAGAAGACTTCTTAAATAAGGTGTTTTGCTCTTGTGAAAAAGAACAATGTCCAAAATGACTTAATATGTCTCTGGAGTTCTTACTACACTGTCAGAGTTTCTTAGGTTTGTGTCGTTAACACATGGTTACCCTCTGGGTAGCCCAGGAAAAGTACTCCCTTCCAAACTGTTCATACTTTTAGAAAGTACTATGACAGGATAGGGATTCCTGCAAGGTTAGGGTTTAAGATTGGGCTGATCCAAAAACCAGTCATTTTTCAGAGAACTAGTTAGTAGATGAGGTGTGAGAGTGTGAACCCCAGCAGCTGCATGTAATGAAAATATGATGACAAATTACAAAATAAGGATTGTACAGCTTAATGACCGATATAAAAAGGTCATTATTTACAATTGTTTTAATTTTTATGAAGCCTCTTCATTTAAAATATATTGAAGAGTATCATATATATTTTACCTGTGTGTTATGTAAGGTACTTACACTTGTGCATATATTAGAATTTTTATTTTTTTAAATGACAAAAAGTACTAAAAAGTCTGGATTCTTACCCCACCTTTTCTTGAGAAAAGAATAAAAAAAACAGACAAGGAGTTAATAATGGTAATGTTTAAAAGTCCAAATCTAAACTGAGAGTTCAAGAAATCTCTTCTTACAGATTTTAGCTCTGATTTTGAAGATAAACCATCATTCTTTTGGACTTTGCCTAAGTGCTGATTTCATTCTTACTCCTTTTTGTGAGAAAAGATACTTAGAACATAGGCTAAATGTTCCTAACTTGTAAGAGAATTTTTGTTGATTACTATTAATGATATTTTTCACTTTTTAGTAGTAAGCATGGACAAATGAACACAGTTTTCCTTTTTTATTTGAGACACTTAGCAAAAATGCTGAAATATCAAACATTTCCTCAGTAGCTACAATATTGCCACTATGTACAAAATATTTGATAAATGTAGTACACATATAAAAATACAGTATGCATTACATATATACAGTACAATGTGCAAAACATATGGCATTCAAACATATGGAATTGATTTT